TCCAGCCATACAAGGACGAGCATGTGTCGTTATATCCTAACAATACAGCCGATGTAGATAACCAGGAATTCTCAGAGCAGTTTAAATATGCAGACATTAAACACACCACGAGCTTTCTCCAAGACAGAAGAAATTCTTTAAAATTTATTAAACTCGGCGCATATTCGTTTCCTCTTTAACCCCGCCCCCTCCCTCAAAAGAAAAGAAAATTGCGGCATTTTTGTAAATTATGTACAATTGCATAAAAGCGTTTTCAGTAGGCCTATTTATTCACAATTTACAAGATTTTACAACAACAAAAACAAAATTCAAATTACACCGACTGACTCACATGTTTACAAGCATTAAAACTGGAAATCATTTTTAAAAACTGCAGCCTAGAAACTTTTTTTTTCTCCTTAGTCTTCTTCTCCAACACATCTTCCATTCCCGCCCTCCGCTCATTTTTCGGACAGCTTTTATGGATCCCTTAAACACACCGCTGGTGCCTTTAATTCCACAGAAAAGTCGGGAAAAAAAAAAAACCTTCAAATCGCACCAGCACTTCACGGATTATAATTTAAATTGTGTGAAAAAAATAGAAAACAAAAAAACACTTGGCATGCTCTGTTCCAGAGAGCGATAGTGAACCGTGTGCGCTTTCCTTTAAACTCGGACAGACAGAAGAATCCATCACTGAAAGAAAAAAAATTTAATAACGATAAAAAAAAAAGTTTGTTCAAAGTGATTGCATTTTTATGGCTATAACCGCCTATAATTTACAATTCATCAGCAGCTCGCGCCCACATCTAGAGTGTAAATATTTGGTTGTGGTTTGTGGTGCTTGCAGGACATGTGGGGGGTTTAAATGTGGGTCAGAGGAACCGTCCCGTTTACCGGAGTGGAGCCGCTGCTCTGGTAGTGCTGCGGGTGGAGCACGTGCAGTCTGCTCTGAACGGAGGAGTCCCCCGCCACCTCACCGGTCGGCAGATACATGCTGATCATGTCCCGCAGGTCCCCCGTGGGGCACGGCGGCGGTGCGCGCGCGGTGGACACCGGCGGGCTCACGCTCGGCTCAGATTTCACGAGAGACCCCAAAGTGCCGCCGATGGCCCCGGACACCGGAGACACGCCGGAGCTTTGGTGCTGGTGGGTGTAGCCGGTGATGCCACCGTAGCCCGGCGGAGACGCGCTCATGTAGCTCTGAGAGTTTGAGATGGGGCTGTAAGATAAGGCGCTCATGTCGTACCTGTGCACGGGCTGCGGGTTGTGCGGGTGGTGGTGCGGGTGATGGTGCGGGTGGTGCGGGTGAGCCCCGGTGCCCGGGTGTTGCGTGTACGCCAGCTGCGCCTCCTGCATCATGGCGTGAGCCGCCGCCGCTGCCGCCGCCACCTGGCCCGAGTACGCGCCGTTGGCCCAGCCGTTCACGTGCGTGGCGTAGCCTGCGTTTGCCCCCGCGTGCCCCCCTCCGGGGCTCTCCAGCCGCTGCCCGCCGCCCATCCCCACAGCTGCTGAGGAGCCGAGGAGCCCGCCGGCCAGCGAGTATTTGTCCTTCTTCAGCAGCGTCTTGGTCTTTCTCCGCGGCCGGTACTTGTAGTCCGGGTGTTCCTTCATGTGCATGGCCCGGAGCCGCTTCGCCTCGTCGATGAACGGCCTCTTCTCCGCCTCCGTCATCACTTTCCACTCGGCGCCGAGCCGCTTGCTGATCTCCGAGTTGTGCATCTTGGGGTTCTCCTGTGCCATTTTCCTCCGCTGACCCCGGGACCACACCATGAAGGCGTTCATGGGTCTCTTGATCCTCTCCTGTGGGACTTTGCCTCCGGCCCCCCCGCCTCCGCCTCCCGCGTGTCCCCCCGGGTTGGACGGGTTGGTCTGGGGCACCACGGGGGAATGTAAGTCCGTTTCCATCATGATGCTGTACATTCACCTCGTCTTTGTGGGACACCAGTCAAACACGAAGAAACATTCAGGCTGGCCCGCGCGCAGCTAAACCTCCGAGGGAGAGATGGATGAAGAGTGAAAGAAGCAGAGAGAGGGGATGAAATCCGCTCAGAGGTAAACCTGCTCCCGCACTTCCTCCGTTTTCACCTCTTTTTTTCCTCCTCTTTTTTCTCCTCCCTCTGTCATCCACGAGCGCAGACAAGAATGGAAACCGCTTGTTTGAGCTTACTTTGGTTGAAGCTGTAGTGGGGAAAAGTTACCGGAGCGTGCCCGGGCCGCGCGCTTTGACAGCAGCTAAATGAGCGCGAGACGGCCAATGGAGAGGCTCGAGCGCAGACGTGATTTGCATGCAGGGGGGGGGGACTCGAGGTTCTGGTGACGTCGGAGCGCGAGACCTAAAAATTACTCCCTCTGTCATCTGTTTTTTTTATGTGTGTGTGTGTGTGTGTGTGTGTGTGTGAAAGAGAGAGAGAAAACACACAACATACAAACAGTTTAATTCCGGTAATTTTTGCGCACGTGCTCTTGCTTCAAACAGGCTGATTTAATCAGTGTTTACGATAAAAACAAGACGCCGTCAGGGCAAATTAACGCCACAAGCAAGTACGAATATAATACTAATATTAATAATTAATAACAACTGATTCACAGGCATCATATAAGCGTGTTAGCCCGCTGCTTACGGCCAGTGAAAACTACAAAGCAGAGCGCCTTCAGCTACGTGTTTAGCTTTCCCGTTTAGCCGCAGCGCTATGAGATTTAATCCTTTGCTAAGTATTATACATTTAACCTAAATGGTCCCTAAAAAGCTCACCCCCACCATTTTTTTTGCCTCTCATTCAGAGCCACAGGTGCTTTTCTGTTGTGCCCGTTGCTAGGTAACAGGTGAGTGACGCCCGGAGCACGTGCCATACAAAGCAGCATCTTTTGTTTGTTTCACCGGCGCTCCCGTGGCGAGCACGCACGAGAGGAAAAAGAGGAGGAGGGAGGGCAGAAAACAAAAACTACAGTAATCCCATAATAAACGTTGGAAATGTTAGAGGCTCTTAATGAAAGCATTTTAATAAACTAATGAGGTCTAATAATAATAATACTAATAATAATGACGACGCTGTCACTGTAAAGCAGCGGCAGGCCCGCTGCATTAGGCCCCAGATATTCTTCCAGGCTCCTGCTTTTGCAGAGATCATTATTATACATTATATATACATATATATATATATGTATATTTTCCCTCTGAATAACTGTTCATAAATTCCTGCACAAGTCACGTTTTATTAGGGCTTCCACAAATAATCATAATCTGCACATTACTGCGTCTATTAATTGTTTGGTCAGAAAAATGTGATAAAAAAAGCCCATCACAGTTTT